GGATACCTCTCTATGTATCAGCTTGGAGGAAGATGAACCGATTGGGGCACATCAGGTGGGGAGTTGGTCAGTGGCTCCAAGCAGCCGCCTGAGAGTGATTTGGCTGAAGCACAGCTGCAGCAGGATAGCCCTGAGACTCAGGGAGTGAAAGTATGCAGCTGCAGCTGGTCAGTGATGAGGAAGAGGAACTGCCTTCTGCATTGATCCCAAAACATGTAGGGCAAGAGAAAGGGCAAGAGTGCAGCGAAGGTCAGCCAGATTACTCACGAGGAGGCAGCCTCGCCCTTCTTGATGGGCTGCACCAAAAAATTGACTATTTAACACTGCAGACAAATGGAGGCAATGCTGGGAACAGCATATTCGTTTCCTAGCTGTGTGTTCTTACCTTGAACTTTGGATCGTGCCTCTTCAGCTGTTGCCTTTGCTTGCCTTGCCTTTGCCTGTGCCTTTGCCTTTGCCTTGGGAACTTGATTTTGCCTAGTGACTGCACTTGCCTTTGCCTTGAGGACTAGCGTTGGCTTCATTTGAGTAGCCTGTGAAATTCATTGGGGTTGAGCTGGTGCCAGAGCAGGGAATTTCAGTGCTGTTGTAACTTCGAATGGTTAGTAAATGAACTGTTGTAAGTCGGAGTCTACCTGTATTCCAGGTGTGGCCTTACTAAGGCTTTATAAAGCAGTACCAATGCTTCATGTGATTTTGATTCTATGGCTCTCTTTATACAACCAAGGATTGTGTTCGCTTTTTTGGCTGCTGCTGCAGACTGCAGCCTCATATTTAAGTGATACTTTAGCCAGCCTATTCCATGATGAGCTTTGTAGGGGATGACGTGCACCAAAATCAGGATAGATTAAAATCAATCATTTTAAAAAATCAGATTTTTAAAATTTTAAATTGGATTTTTTTTAATTTTTATCCAATTTATTTTAATAAAATGCTTTTAGAGTAAAAATCTATCTAAAGATTGTATTCTATTTAAGATACATTAATAGTTTAGTTTATTCAGCATGAAATGAAGCTTAGTTATGTAGCATGAGGCTGTATATTTTGCAATATTGGGACTGTCGATGAGTCAACAGCGGGTCCGAGGAGGAGCCGCTGTGGGTCAGAGATGATATTTGCTCTTTAGAAATTATGATTGAAATCGACTTGATTTCAATCAAGCCTTTTTATTACTGATTGAAATCGTAACTTAAATCAAATCCACCCTGCCCAAAAGCTAAATGGCAAGCCTGGGAGTTTGCACAGCACTGGGGTCACATGGATGTACTGAACAATTCCTTTTATTGCACGTGCTGTGCTTGATTTACTCTTATTATCTGTAAATAGAATCACTCGAAATATCTCACTTCTTTTCCAATCTAACAAAAAGTAAGGCGTGACAGCTAAAATGACATTACGATCACAAATTCCATATTTTTTTACAACCTGAATGTGCTCAAGGTTAATTTTAAAAAATATCCTAGCTGTATTTTACCTTTCTATATATCACTTTCTTACATTTTAACTTTACAGGTAGTCCTTGACTTACAGCCACCAATGAGCCCAAAATGTGTGTTGCTAAGTGAGAAATTTGTTAAGTGAGTTTTTCCCCATTGTACGACTTTTCTTGCCACGTTTGTTAAGTGAATCACTGCACTTGTTAAATTAGTAACACCGTTGTTGAGAGAATTTGGCTTTCCCATTGACTTGACCTGTCAGAAGGTCACAAAAAGTGATTACATGACCCTGGGACTCCATATCCGTTATAAATAGGAACCAGTGGTCAAGCATCCAAATGTGACCAGGGGGGGTGCTGCGATGGTCAGAAGTATGAAAAAAGGTCATAAGTCACTTTTTTCAAGGACATTGTAACTTCAGAAGATGGTCACTCAATGGAACTACTGTAAGTTGAAGATTACCTGTATTAAATTCCCAGAGCAGTAATCTTAAAAACTCATCTCTCTCTCTCCATGACGCAGGTGGTAGAACAGAATTTGCTCAGTTTTAATTCCTCAGTTTTGTGTTGTTGTTTTTTTCTTATTAAATTCCTTAGTTTGGGAAGGGTGATTTAGGCACAACCTGACAAGAGATGTTCCAAACCAAAGTAGTCTGCACAGTATAATTGCTTAATTTGTTTTATGAAGTTGCCCAATGTAATTTAGAAATTTAATATGTACTAATTACATTGGGTAACCTCATGAAACAAATTAGGGGCTGGGTCTTTTTGAGATAACCCAGATAAATAAAGAACATTATTTATTCTTGTTTTTCTTTGTCTTCTCTATACAGGACCTCTGGAACTATTTTGCTTTTATGAAAACGTGATCGTGTCAATAACAACTATGCATTAATGAGATACTGAAGGGAGATAAAAACCAACTAAAAGAATGAATAGTGAAGAGGAATTTTATGATGCTGTCACAGGTAAGTTAACCCAGTGTAAAGTCTAAATTTGTCAGAAACCGGGATCCTGTGTTTTTGTCCTGTGGGGCACACACATAATAATGCTGGGAAGGCAGCTGGCTAAGGGCCCATAACACGGAGTCCTTCGGGATTGGGCGGCCTATAAATTTTATTAATAAATAATAATAAATAATAATAAATACCTGCTGGGTTCCTTCCTTCCCTATTCCTTATGGCTTCAAACCTTTTCTTTCAACAAAACAAGCCCCTCTGATCACCTAAGACAGGAGTGTCAAATGTTGTGGCCCACCAGTGGCCAGTGGAGCTGGCAGCAGATTCGGACAGTGAGGTGGTTGGGGAGGAACATGGGCCAGTCCTGGAGTCTGGGGAAGGCTCTGATGAGGGCTCTGTGTCGGAGGAAGAGCGGGGCCCAAACTCATATGCCAGTTATTAGCTGCCTTCAGAGGCAGACAAACAGCTGGAGCCTGTTTGCAGTGTGCGCATGTGCAGAGTTGCCAGACAAAGGGAACAGCTAAAGAACAGGGG